TGGGACTAATATAGTGCAGGCTTGGACTGGGTCAGTATCAGTTTTGGAGTGTTGTGGCAGCTTGGTGCAAGACTGTTGCATAGCAATACAGCAAACTGTTTGAAACATGTTTTTGGGGCTTGTGAAATTGCTTTGATCGAAGAGTGGAAAAACAAGTCTCAATAAGCATGGTCTGGAGAGTGGTATTCGAAGGATTGGAGCAAGTGTTTTGTATGGGGTTGAACAATTTTGAACTTCTGTCGAAGGGTTTAGCTTATGGATCGAAGCAAGCTGCTCGAAGGAAGAAAATTGCCTCAGTCGAAGCTTGGATCGAAGGAAGCACATTCCCTTAGTCGAAGCTTGGATCGAAGGAAGGCTACTGCCCAATCGAAGCTTGGATCGAAGGAAGCAAATTCCCTTAGTCGAAGCTTGGATCGAAGCAAGCTTGCTCGAAGGGAGTTACTTCCCATTCGAAGCTTGCTAGATCGAAGCCAACTTGCTCGAAGTTGCCAATGCCCAAACGAAGCTTGCTAGATCGAAGAAAGCTTTCTCTTCTTCGATTTGTCGAAAGGCACATTAACATCTTCAATTTTTTTTCATTTTTCTTTTCCTTCGACCAGTCGAAGTAACACCTTGCCATCTTCAAAAAAATTCATTTCCTTATTTCTTTAAACAGGCGTTTGTAATCACACATGTGAGAGAAATCTTGAGAAAACAAGAGGGCAAATTTTGGGGTACAACACATTCACAGACCACTCGATACAGACAATGTGGCCTTTTACACTTCCTCTCTTTAATATTGGCTTTATATTGGCTCTCTAGGATACTTTCTTCGGATGGATTCTCTATGTTGTTTTCCCATATGCAGTCTGTGCAAGTTTCCTTCTCTTTTTTCAGTTAGGGAAGCCCTTTCACCGTTTATTAAATTAAAGTATGCATGCCTTTGAAGCTATAATGTCCATATTTGCAGTGCCATAATTGTGTGTGTCATCTTCTGTTGAATCTTTCAAACGCGCGGGGATGATTATTGGGGAAATATGACAAACATTCTATTAGATGACATTTGAGTGGACGTAATCAGTACATTGTTATCATGAAACACCCTGTAGGTATCATTCTTGAATACTATGGCCAAATTCTTCTATAACAACTGGCCAATAATCAATATATTATTCTTCAAATCGAGCAAGTAATACACATCATTGATGACTTGAATAATTCTACCTATGTCGAGAGAGAAACAAACCATAGGTTCAAAGTTGGGTCTAATATCACTTGTTAAGATAGAATGAAATATCCTTAACTCATCATTGACAAAACAATGTCTTTATATAAGCTTGATTACGAAGGAATTGTTACTTGTAATGCAAGTAACTAAATTTGACTTTACTAAAATTAAATAAGTTTAACAATAACAAATTTCATTTATTTGATAGACGATAATTTTAATGTGAATATTTTGGTCAAAAAAAGTTTTTTATTGTCCCATCACTTATTTATAATTTTTAGATACTAAAGAAGTTACTGAGTTTTAATTTAATAAAAAGAACAACTTTTTAAGTTGGTTATTAAAAAAATAGGCTTACATAGTGACACTTTCATAATAAAAATGTGAAGGAAAATATTTAACAAATCCTAATTAAATCTCAATTAAAACATTTTTCTTAATAAATTTACTCTTAAAAGATCTTAATTTTAGGACACTTTTTTTCAAGCTAAATAAATATTTATTTTTGTTATTTTTTTATAATCAAAATTAATTAATAAAAAATGAGTAAAGGGATATTCAAACCTATTACAAGCAAATAAATTCAACACTTCAAAAAATTTAGGGGTGAATGCTAACTAATTATACAAAGTTGTGCTTCTACTTTTCCTATTGTTAGTAGCATTCCAAATTCACGATACCACCTTAATATTTATGATAAGATAGTAAAAGACGTACACTTCACCATTAAATAAGATATTATTAAGATATTATTTCTCAAAGAGATAAAAAAGAGAAATTGTGAAAAGAAATTGTGGAAATTGTGTTTGGTTTATAAAAGAAATTGTGAACAGATAAATAGTTAAGAGAGAGAGTGGAAAGAGAGAAAGAGATAAAAAATAAAATAGATTTAAAATATTGATTAATATAAAAGAAAGAAAAAAGAAAAGAAAGAAAAAAAGAAGTAATTATTTATTTTTAAAAGTACAATAATGTCTCTTTATCAAAATATATTTCCATCAAAATTATTAAATTCTTTTGTTTAAATTTAGTTAATTAACTAATTAATTTAATAACTTATTTTAATTGAACTAATTTAATTTATTTATTTACAATGATATTGTTATCATTTCAATTCACAAAAATAATTCAACTACTTTCTCTTTTATATTCTGTACTAGTATCTAGCATTCCTGGTGCGAGTAGTTATTAAATTTTTAACACATTCAAAGAAAAGTAAAAAAACTTAATTTATAAAACTTAAAGTTAACTCAAAATATCAAAGGGTATTTTTGGTAAAGTACAAAAATTTACTTTGAGGAAAAAGAAAAAGGTGGATGGGCCCACAAATACTCATCTCTCTTTCCTATTTCTTATTGTCAATCAAGAGAAATTCATCATTTCTCATCAACTACTCTTTTATTAAACTCTCTCTTTGCATAATCATCTCAACCAAAGTACACCATAAATGTTGAATTTTTTTAAAAACACACCACTTTATGAAAAATGCATATGCCAATATATCATTTAGATGTACACTAAATACTAAAATGTCATATTTTCAAAAAAAAAAATTATAAGATAAGGATCTCAGTCCATTGAATTGATAGACTCTTTTAAAATTATAAAGTTTCTGTTTATTAAAAGGACAGAGCAATTTTTTTAAAAAAAAATTCTTAAATAATCACATTTTCAAAAATTTTATCAAAATGAATATTTTTCAAATAAAAAAATTTCGCTATACAGAGAAGTAGTAGCTACTCTGTGTGGCGCATGCATTCAATTTAAAGAGGAGGCGCCATACTATATGGTTTGTCTTCCTCTGTAAAGTCATGCAGTGTGGCGCATGCATGTGTTTTTGAGAGGAGGCGTTATCCTCCTTAACTTGACAGTGTAATTGTAATTTTTTTTTAAATAAAATAAAAAAAACTAAAAATATCTTATATTAATATTTAATATTACAATACACCTAGATATATTTTTTTTTTAGACTTCTCTAAACCTCTGATTGATGGGTACAACTACAATTAATCGGATAAGTTATCAATTAAATTCCATGAAAATTAAAAGGCATGGTTTTGAAATACTTTCAGAACATAGTCATCAAATTAGCCTATAACTAGCTTAGCTTCATATTATGGCTACAAGACGATTGCAAGAAGTAAACACCAAGGTCGCATCACACTGCCTTTTGTTATAATAGGAATCTACTTTACAATTAATTGATTTGAAATCAGTGGGCATCATATTCTCATGTCATACATTGTTTTACTCTCTCCGTTCTAAATTATAATATTTAACATATCTGATTTATATATAAACTAGATATATTAGATATTTAATAAACTTAAAAAATAATATTTCAGGTAAATAAATTGATGACATGTGGTTTTTTTACCAAAAAGGAAACTACTACTAGAAATAAATATTTATCTTCTCAATGAATGCGTCCCTTCAAATTAAATCAGATAAAAATATATGATGGACATGCAAGTTAATATACATATTGTGATGAGTGAAGTGATTGATTGTTCATGAAATAAAATAAGAAGTTTGAAAATAAATAGAAATGAATTCTTCATCACGGCAACCGCAGCCATTAAATGCAACACTAATGACTAACATCATTTTAGAATTCCTAATCTATTAATGTACTAGTAATTTCATCAAAAGCCCAACATGAGTAGTATTACTATTAAGTTACCGCTTGTGTTTGGAAGGAGTACTTCATAAAAAACGAATCTAACATATAATTTTATAAATAATTTATCATAATTTTTTATTAATTAAAAAACAAAAATAAATTTTTTCTCTCCTACTTCAATTATAACTATTTTATTAATTCAATTAAAAAGAAATTAAATTTTAAAAACATTTAAACTTTCTCTTTTTTTTTTTTATACTTCTAAGAATATAAATTTAGATTTATTTTTATGCAAGTATTTTTTTGATGTGTTTTGTATTTTTCCAACCTCTCTCTAATATTATGTAGGTAATTTTCTTTTTATAATTTGGAGTTTGATTGAATATCCATATCTTATGTTTTTGTATGCAAAATTATTTTAAATTATTATAAATTTATTATATGTCCATTTACTAAAATCTCTTTCGTTAATTTTTTTAAAAATAATAAGAACATTGATAATGTTAATTAGTTAAAATTAAGATATAGAAATAAGAGGATATGGACAACCAATGCGTTACTATTCTAGATAACGCAACACTATTATGAATGAAACTTTGCATTCTTGATAAAAGATCAATTATTTCTAATGTTAGAAAACCAAATTTTATTTTAAAATAAATTAATATAAAAAATAATATGACATTGAATAATTAATTATGATAATACATATTCAACCAAACAATGATCTTCATGTAGAGGTGCGAGTTCTTTTATTATATAAAAGTTTATAAACTTGAGGGAAAGATAGAGTCATTGAGAGCTCAAGGATGAGTCTGAAAATAAAGTGATTAATTTTGCATTGTTTCTCAATTGATTAATCGAGTCTCTAAGATTGATCGAGTCACGTACATATCTTATTTTGATCCTGCTTTATTTTGTTGGTATTTTCTTGCTATTGTGGTGTGTTCTATTGACATAGGTTTTAAGGCAATCCACTTACAAATATTAACATTGGAATTAAGAGACGACAAGTAAAATTGCTAAAGATAAAGGAGATTATATTTAAGTGGAAAAAACTGAAACATTCGTAGCTTGAGATTTGGTCAGAATTCCACTTTTATTAGATAATGTTTGTGACCAAAAACAAAAGCAACGACAAAGCAAACATTAAAAAACAACTAGGTAGCTTCACAAACGAAGGGTGAGGTCAAGATTGACATGGTCAGAAGGTTGAGTAGGAAGAGTAGAAGCAGTATGAGAAGTTATGGATGCGCCTGCAGCATGGAGGTGATGATGAAAAGGCTTAACTTCAAGCAAGTAAGGATAGTTGTTGTTGTTGAAGAAGCGAGCAGATTCTATATCGGGCTTGGGCGTGAGGTTTGTGATAATGAGAGAAGAACTAGAGTGAAAATAGAGTGGCTTGGTTGATGTTCTAGCAGCAGCTCTCTCGAGTTTGTGTGCATTTTGATGGCCACCAAGAGCTTGAGAAGACAAGAACTTGCGATGGCAGAAGTGACACTGAAAACTGCGGGTTGAATAATGTTTATTTGCAGCTTCTCTCGACAGGAATTTATAGATGGATGCAGGCTCTGCCATTTTTTTTCACAGCATTCACCACTATATATATATATATAATGAGGCTATGTGGGAAGTTGTTTTTCTTCGGATGTTTGGCTTTTATCTTATATCTTATGTGTTTATCTCAGTTCATTTGTATAGAGACAGTGTAAAGAAATGACATTGAGATATATTACAAATATATATTTTGTAATGTAAAATTTTAACATATTTTTATCATGTTTAGAATGGGACACCTGAAATGTGAAAATAAATGATGGGTGATTCAATAACATAAATTTGATAGTAAGTGATTCATCGAATATTAAACGAAAATTTTGATATCAAATTAGAAAATGTAGTTAGACCTAACTCAATCATATAAAATTAATTTTTAATGTGAAAATTATCTCCACTTATAAAACCAAACATGTTCATGGCATATAATCCAATTTAGACCTAGGGCTAACAACATACAACTATATAGAGTATATTTATAGATAACACCCATTTTAATTAACATTATTTTGTAACACTTTTTTATCATAAACATTTCAACTTTTTATGGTTCAAACTTCATATTTATCCCTCTCAAAAAGTTGGATAAAAAAACTATTAATTTTAATACATATTTTATATTTTTGATTCATTAATATATATATATATATATATATATATATATATATATATATATATATATATATATATATATATATATATATATATATATATATATATATATATATATATATATATATATATATATATATATATATATATATATATATATATATATATATATATATATATATATATATATATATATATATATATATATATATATATATATATATATATATATATATATATATATATATATATTTATGAAGATTTAGATTGCTTATAGTTACATATGAATTTGTGTAATCGATCGAAGTCGTCTGATTTTGAATGTTTTATTGAGATGTCTACATTGATTATGTAACTCTGTTAGCGTGAAGCGAGCAAATTATGAGAGATAAAGTCTACCTTGCTCCATACGCGTAACACCATCTCTCTATATGTGTACCATACGCGTAACGACAGATGGTCGTGTTGGCTTAGAGACAGGGTTTGTATCGAACGTGTAAGGCCCCCTGGAACGTCCCCTCATACGAGTAATCCCTCCCCCATTACACGTATGACCATTCTACAACTCCAAAAATCCTACATTCGAACCAGATCAATTTCCACTCGTTTTGAGCACTTTCAACTTCCTAATTTAGGTCCAAAATAGTGCTTTTCCACATAATAACCTATAGACTTCATCTAATTTCATTAAACACTTATTTTATACCAATTTCCTACATCAAAATATCATTTTTCATCATCTTTATAAACTCACTTTTTTAGATTTGGGATTTTATGGAAGAACCCACAACAACAACATCAATCCTTATCAAAATTCACAGTAGAACCACACCATTCACAATTTCATGATAATCATATAGATATAACAAAAAATCAAACAATAGAAAGGATATACATTAATTACGCACAAAACCTAAAGAGGAAAATGAACCTTCACTACCTTCTCATGCTATAATCACCCTTTAGAGAGTCTATTCTCTCCCCTTATCTTAGTTTGAAGTTTTAATCCTTTAACAATGGTGGAATTCTATCTTGTCCTAGTTCTTCTTTCTCTTCTCTTCTTTATTTCTACGTGACATCGGTTTCTCCCAATTACTTCTACCACTCTGTCAAATAATATTTTATTCTTAATAACAAATAATAATAATACTAATGGAAATAATCATAATAATAATAATAATAACTATAATATTAATAATAATATTATTATTAGTGGTAACTATACCATATATCTAATAATATTTTTATTAATGATAATAATATATTTCATCATTCATTAATACTATTACTATTATAACATAGACTAAGTTTAATTCTAGTTATTTAATTAGAACTAAGTTCTCACATACTCTTAGCCATGCCTACATACCATTAGTTATGTCAAAATAATTTAAAATCAATAATCAATGACTAAATATTTAAATGGGGCATTATACTGAAGGTTAAAGACAAAGTTGCTTCGCGTGCTTTGGTGCCAATTTCAAATCCTTAGTTAGTCGCAATGCAACACATTTACTAGCCGTAGCACATTTAAATTCCTTTTAATTATATTTTCTTTCAAAATTATTTTAGAATAGCTCCTTGATGATTTTTTATTCCAATTTTTTTCATAAATCCACAAAAAATATTTTCTATCTTTATATATATTCATATTTTTTTTCACTATTTTTAAAATTATTTTTAGCATTTTCACTATTTTTTTATTTTCTTTTTTATTAGCTTTGAATATTTTTATTTTAATTATTTTCCAACATATTTTATTCCAACTTTTGAGATCTACTTCTTTAGAATATTTCTTTTTTTTTTCATGTTTTTTGTAGCCATTTATTTGATGTTTTTGTAATCTTTTATTTTTATTTTTATTTTAAACCTTTTTAAAATCATTTTAATTCATTTTATTTTATATTTCTCTATCATTTTTTTTGTTTGACTTCTGTTGACCTGAATCATGGCTTGATTGATCAAATGTTTCATCAAGATCAATGGATTTTGGGTGATGCTTTAGTTGTATGAACCTTCACCATTTCATATTTATCATTAAATGATCATTTGGATCATTTTTGGTACTTTGGATTAATGATAGGTTTATCCCATTGTGCTACCAAGATAGATGATTGAAATTAATGATAGATTGATTTCATGTTGCGATTCAATTTGGTTTTCTCATTTTTTTCTCATCTCCTTCTTCTTTTTGTTTTTAGTTGACTTTGATCAATTGGTTGATTATTTATTCATCTTGTTCAATTAGGTTTGGATTTATGCTTGATGAAATTTCTTCCTTTCAAATCTACCTTTAGATTAATGATAAGTTTGTCTAAAGGTATCATAAAGAAATTGATTGAAGTAATGATCTAATCCCCTTGTCTTTGTGCTTGATCACCTTTCTTCTTCTTTTTATTTCTTTTGCTTTGTTTTAAAATCAATGGTGTTCCATTGTTTTCGGAGAATAACTTTATATCATTTCTCTAACATTTACTACATCTATATTGTTATAACCCGACCTCAGATAGGTGCAATTTCTATATAAGTTCACTTACAATTGTTTAACATAGTGCTAAATTTGTCCCAAATCAATTTAATTATCATTAACACTAATGTTGTACCCCAAAATTTTCCTTCCCATTTTCTTCAAGACATTCTTCTAGGGTTCTCAAATGCTCAAGGGTGCTCAAGAGTTGATCAAACAAATTCTCCTCCTAAACAATTGGTCCACAACTAGGGTTTTGTGTTTTTCAAAGAAGTTTGGGTTTCAAATATCTCAAATGGTTTTCATGGTTCTTAATATGTCTTCAAGGATACTCATATCAAGTTTCAAGTCTTGTCTCACAAGTTTGCTCAGTCAATAGCTCGGATGATTGAAAATCAACTATATTGGGTAAAAAGTCAACTATGGTAAACATACAGTCAAACTTAAATTTTTTTGGTTAACATCAATATTTTGAAGTGATATTCATCATTTGATCAAGTTTTGATCATGATTCCTCAAGGAAAGCCATCAAATCATCAAAAGTCAAAAGTTGCCAAATTAAGGTTTCCTTAGGAGAAGTCAACTGAACTTTGACCAAGCATAACTTTCACATGCTTCATCAAATGTTCCCCAACCAAAACCTTTATTGAAGGAAATTCAATTCTCTACAACTTTGTATCTATATGCTCAAGTCCAAAAAGTGCTTCATTTGAGAGATATGAGCTAATACATTATAGGTCATTTCAAAAGTCAACAAAAAGACACTTTTTGTCAAGGCAACTTACATCAAGATAAAGTCTCCAAATGCAAAAATGATCAAAAGATAAATTGTAGAGGATATCGTGGGATTTTCAAAAAGTCAAAGGTCACCTTAAAGAGATGGAAAATTAGAGAGTTATGACCAGTGTAAGCTGGAAAATTTTAAGAAAATGCATGAAGTGCAAAGTGAGCAAACTTGAAATTTTGAAATAGTGGGCCTAACTTTTGATATTAAAACATGTTCACAATGTGTTAGAGGACCTATAAATCCATTCACATATTTTTTATAATTTTTATTTCTTTTATTTTAATTTTCATTCATTTAAATGCAAATTAAATCAAATAAAATATGAAGCAGTGGTACAAGGCGCATGGGCTTCTGATTTCAGTCACATGGAGGCCCAAGAACATGTGATGAACATGCCAAAATCGTTTTTCCTCAAATATTGAAAGGAATATCACTTGTTTGGAATTTTTTTAATGGTTTTGGAAAGAAACCACACCATGATTGCACAAGATCTCATGCCACTTTTGTTAACCTAAGTTGATTCATCTATATAAGCACAAGAGACCAGATGCAAGGGACCATACATCCTTGCCTCACAAATTGCAAAAAAGTTCCAAAACTTTTTCAAATCCTCGAGTTTCAAAACTTGTGTTACATTCCCTTTCATTCCAAACTTTCGATCCCATTCACTTCCTAAAACATTGAAGGGCAAGTTTGGATAAGTTACCATGATCCTAAGCACCTGAAGCATGCATAAAAACCCTGGCCAGTTTTTGGATTTTTGCCATTCATGTATTTTTAATTTCATGCATTTTTGAAAATTTCTAACCATCCAAAACAGTTTATATGAATGTTCAGGACAGATTGCAACCATTACATCGAATTTTTTATGTCTGGATCTGGATTTGGCATGCTTGAACTAAGCTAGGGTCTTGGTTTCGAAACTCATGATACAAGGACTTATAGCCAAAACTAAGTCTGAATTCGCATTCAGGAGGGTCAAATTAGGGGGATTAGGAAGTTTTTAGATCACTAACTCTCTAATTTTGTACGTTTTGGTTTATGCTGGCCACGGGAGAAGACAACCGTATCTAGGGCTCAGGCGCTTCTCCAGTCACTATGTTCGTTTATGTAATATATTTTTATTATTTGGTTTATGTTAACGGATGTAAAGAT